CGACGCCGTAATATCCCCCTGACCTCTGCCTTCCTGGCTCTGGCACATCTTGTCAATTTGTCGTTTGCCCAGAACCTGTTTTATCTGGCTCTTCTCTTGACGCCCTCGCCTCTGCCTTCGGGAGACGAGGATCTCGAGCTGCCAGTTGCGCCTGTCCCTACTTCGAAGATAATTGAGATTCGTGACAGATACTTTCCCTCGAAGCCAAAGAATTGGTACCTGCATCCTTTTATACTCCTGAGTACTTTGGCCTTGAATTATACCTCAATATCCTTGCTCCCTTATGCTGCCGGCACATCGTCGTTCGTAAACGTGGTGTTGATCAGCCGGGCTTCAACCTTCCTACCCCTTATTCTGCCAGCGGTTGTGCCGATTAGTTGGGGTACTGTTCAATCACGCCCTCATGACGCCTATGGTTCATTCACGACGCTATTCCGAACTATTTCGGCTGCATCGTTCGCGTTACAAGCAAAGGCTAGCCTCGCGGGGCTATTTTATAATGTTCCGGACTCGCACTATCATCGTCATAGCGTGTTCTTCCCTTGGGATGTAGAAGAGCGTACTACTTGGGAGCGTAGCACTACAGCGCTGGGCAAGGTTCTGGGCTCTATATCCGACCATCCTGCCGTACAGGCTGTTGGCTGGGACGCCCTGCTTTGCACGCTGAGTCTTGGCATATGGGCTGCTGTTCGTGCTACGGATGTTCAAGATATCATCAAGTCCGCAATACCATCTTTCAAATTCTACCGCAATGTCGAGCAGGCCGTCCCAGATCAGACTCGAGATGTTTCCGTCAAGACCGAGTCCGAGCCTGCCGAGGATCTTGGATCAGAACATTCAATGACCCTGAGACGTCGAGGAAGACCGACCAAGTCCGCATTCGGAAGCATTATGAGCTCGAGTTCGCCTAGTGAGGGAACGCCCGTAACACCCGGACGGAAGCGAGGACGGCCGAGAAAGAGCAAGCAGCCCGAAGAGGAGAAAGCCTACGAGCCCACCCCATCAGAAGCCGGAGAGCTAGTAGAGGGAGACGTACTACCAGCTAGTGAATTGGACTGGGAGTCTGCAGCTCTGGCTTGGGGTCTCGTCGCATTTGCCGGACTCGGCTCTGCTTGTGCTGGCGTTTTTGGGGGAGAGTGTATTTCGAGATGAGAAATCAAAAGGGAGGCCGAGTCTCATTAGTACTTGAGCAGAGGGGTACCTAGGTATACCTATTAGGCCTAGGTTAGTAATATGCACGGTTTATGATTTTATCATCAAGTCCTTTCTGTGTATCGTTCCCGCAACTACGGAATATTAGAAAGTTTGGGCACCCCAGTTTGGTATCGCGACACGCCTCACCTCATCTCTCTGCCCTAATCACAGATGTGTGGCTAAACCATGTTTTCATAAGTACCTAACCTAGTATCCACTCCATAAGGTACATACTTCAGGACGTCACTACGTACACGTGCCTTTTCAGTTACTACATATGTAATTCTGATCCCTAAACCTTCTCTAATATCGTACCTACACACAATTAGCCGTCCGTGTCTAAACTCATCTTCTAACACCCACCCGCCGCCTTTCTCATCGCCGCAACATTCATCACCACAACGGCAGCCGGTTATAATAACAGTTATAGCACGTTGCGCGTCACTCTCCTCCTTTGTCGCTGAACTAAATTATCTACCGTTTAACTTTCTTTCTTTCTACCTAACTCATGCTAGTTTTCGAGGCTTCTAGTCGAGATATCGTCACTGAAGCGAGCAACACCTACAACTCCAAGATAACCTCTACATACATTGCACCTTCCCACGGATTCCTAAACACCAACCTTGGAAGTTTACCCACCTAAACAACGTGTTCACGGAAGGAGCAAAATAGATTAGGTTAGTACTTATATGTGCCTAAGCGGCGTCTTTTATACTTACCTGTAATCAGCCATCCTCATTCATTCTAACGTTCCCTTTACCTTCTTTCTTTCAACAGAGCAGCACGCCGCATTCACATACAACATCACACATATATACCTGCTTAGTTTCTTTCTTTTCTAATCAAGTGATACCAACGTATCAACGCGCATTAATCACGACATAACATCGTCGCTCAGTGACGTTTTATCGGCGCGGTCTTCTCTCATTACGAACCTATCTACTTTTGTAGGTGAGTGATCGCCGGTCCATCAACGAAGTGCCCTTCCCCCGCCGAGTCGTCGTCGCTATCGTCGCAATCGTCGCAAACGTCGCATGTAACCCTTTTTCACGATTGACGTAACGGTACTCTCATTCGGAGGTGTTATTCTCGTCGAGATCTGCTCAATGGGTGCCTGTTAATTCGATAACGTTCAACTGTTCACCATGTCTATCCATTACGAATCCAAGATGCTGAACCTCCAAGATCGCCTAGAGATGTCGGAGACCAGCTGGAACATGTTGAAGGCATACGAGGATTTCCAGACAGGCAAGATGGACCGGGATCAGCTACGCCGAAAGATTCGCCTCTCGCCCCAAAACCGCGCATCCATGACCAACACTATCATCCAACTTGCCGAGAACAAGACCGTCCTAAGTAAAGAAGACAAGTACTGCAGCGGCATCATCAGTGCCATGGCAGAAATGATCAAGATCGGAGGTAAGTATTTGTTTGGTTTACGAATCGTCACGCCCTTTGCTAATATTACCAAGACGAGGAACCGACCGACCTCGGTTTCTTTTTCTTAAAATTCCCCAGGGAATTACGCTCTATGGTTTACGAGTTGTACCTTTCCGACGTCATCAAGCAGAAGAAGGGTTTTGCCACATCTCAAGCGATTGTTCCAATGGAAGGAAAGGGTACGGGGGCACCCTGCAGGTGCTGGAGCCCCCCCTGGACTACTCTGAAAGACAGCATGTATAAGGCCGATGTTGTAAAGCTCGACCTAGCTGCAACCTCCAAGCAGGTGCGAGAGGAGGTCATGGGAACTTTCTATCACAACTACGTAAGTAACCTCTTTCTTCTTCGCATCGGACACGTCTAATGCTGTCTATATATACAGACATTCAAATTCTTCTGCGCCTGTCAAATGGGAGTTTATCTACGATCGAACCGCCTCCTCAAGAACAAACTCCGATCTGTTCGGTTCTACTGGGCTGGTCCACAAGCCGATTCGGGCATCTCGACGCTGCAGGGCATTAAGCTGAAGTATCTCGTGGTCGAGGTATCCAAGGATACCGGCAAGTTCCTTACAGCAAAGGAGGAAGACTTACGCAAATACTTCCGTCCCCAGAGAGGATATCATAACTCTCTCGCCGAGACCCGTGGGTTCGACGAGCTGGTTGCGCTTCGTGGCATCGGTTCGGTAAACGTCTTCCATGTACCTAAAAATATCTGCCTGCAACGGCCTGAGTCAGAGCGATACGGCCTATTCCGACTGCTGGAGGACAAGGTAACACGCGAGGATTAGGTTGAAGTAGTGCAGGAGGCATGGCAGCATTGCGGATTCGGGGTTCACTTCACTTCGATGCATGCGGTAGGGGTGGGGTGGCTTTTCCTATCTGGTTTCATTTCATTTACTGGTCACGATGCGGAACAGGCAATGCTTCTGTTCCAACCACCAGTTGTTTATGCGATGATCGTCGGATGTATTTACGTTCTTGCTATGTGTCTTTGATGGTCAACGAGACATCAGAGAGTAGCTTTATATTCGGCTCGGCTACACAAGAGACATGCTTTCGTTTCTTTTCTCTTCGTCAGGCCTTACGATAGGTAGTTCACGAACACTTGACCCCCAAAAGAACTTGCTTGATATTGAATCGTGATTGAATGTAGACGGACTTTTATAAAAGGCTTTTGTGCGTATCTCTACTCCTAACACGCCAACCGACCTTCGGCTGCCCGCTTGACAGCTATGATCCCTTTTTATGTTGTCTCTACCACTTACACCTGTTTACGTCTATAAAATCATCTACCATACTTAGATCTTGAATTCTCACATCCATACATACCTACCTATTGTTGACTAGTTGCCGCACTATCGTATTCAAGTGACACGAATATGTAGGTAGATTTGTGGTATAATATTGGGCACCTAACATAGAGAGGCAGGTAGGTAGTAAGGTTGTTCCTTCCGTATTCTACGGCTCGCCGTCGTTGCCTAGCAACCTCAACCCGACACTCCCACCAATCAACCCAACCTTTGGTTACCTAGGTAGGTAGGTTAAATAGCCTAACAAGTGTCCCTCTTCCAAGTCCCGCACAACGCCTGCGAGCTAACTGGTCTTGGCTCAATGGGTTGGCGAGGGGGCCAGATAAAATCCCACCGGGGGTTTTTCGTATACACCTGGGTTCGAGTCTATGGCAGGGCGGGCAAAGCGACCAGCTGTCTCGGGTCAAATGCTATAGATACTCTAGCTCAGAAGTGTTAGCTTTTTTGTCATTTATTTTTTATTCAATTATTTATTTTTATTTCTATTTTTATCACATATAGCCTACTCTCAGGGGCACCTAAAACCGTAGGAATCTGATCTAGAAGAGCAATCCCATCCTTTTGACAGATTACTATATTAGCATGTCATGGTCGGTACTTTTATTATGGCAACCAAGCTGTGTTCGGCATTTACTGTACGGGTTTGAAAATGTTACATCTATACTCCAGAATATTGGCTTCCAAAACCAATTCATCCTTTGCGCCTACGTTAGACAACTCTTTGCCCTTACATACGTCTTCTGGCATTATTGCAAGTATGGTTTAAAAGTCTTTACGTAGGTATATAGGTATGTTTTTCGAGTTTTATTACCGACAACCTATTCAACCACACGTACGGATACGTCTGTAATTTTACTCGAGAGTTCCCACGGCCAGCTTGGAACGAGTTTTCTGCTCGTTTATCATCACCAATGCTTTGCATTCAGTCAAACACGACTTCCAATATATTCCCGTAAAAACTCACCAATTGCGTGCAAGCGTCGTGGTGTTTTAATCCGTACTTTAAAAGTAAACTAACTATTATTGAAATAAATAATTCTTATTAAAAAATGAATGTCCCGGGAAGGCCTCGAACCTCCTTCTCTCCAGAAGTCCATTATCGCAATTCACTGTAAAGTGGCTAGGAGCTTCTGGAGTGTGTTAACCGAATACACCACCGGGTCCATTGTGCAAGAACTCAGATTCATTTTAAGGGGTAGCAACATAGCTAGCCATAAATCGCTACTGCTGATGAAGCCGCAATAAAAATATGATGTAATATATTTGCTATTTAAGGAAACAGAAAGATATTTACGCAGGTACAAACGTATGTTAGGTACTAAAGTTCAAATATGGGCATATGTAGAGGTAGACACGAAGCAAGGTACCAACCAACGTAATAAATGAAGAGACGAACAAATTTTCTTCAAAAAGGGGGGAGTAGAAGAAAATAAACACTATCCCAGGCAAGAATCGAACCTGCAGCTCTCGAATTTCAACTAGAAACCTGCAAGATGGCTTGGGGTTTCTAGAACGTAACACTCAGAGTATGTTGCCATTACACCACTGGGCCATTGGGCAGTGATGTTGAGTAGAACTTGAAATGTAATATTGCGCAACGTATTTTTGTATTCACCTCGCAAACCCGCAGTCTCCGGAACCCTTCGTGACAAGTATCTATTTCAAAACTAGCAACAATGCGGCAATCACACGAAACACTCCAACCTTAACAACAGAGCTTCATGGCGCAGTGGAAGCGCACTGGGCTCATGCCCAGAAGGTCCTCCGATCGGGGCGGAGTGAAGCTACTTGATATTGATAAATGTTATTTTACTTTTCTTTTCTGGGTATTTGTGTGAGCTGTTTTGCTTTCCTGGCCTACTAAAGAATAGAATATTCACGACAGTGGCAACAACTCTAAGGACAGGCCAGTCATCAAGCCAATCTTGCTGTAAATGAGGAGGTTCTAGAAATGCAACAGTTACGTTGAAATTCTCCTGGTACGTATCTTATAGCTCTGGAAATACCTAGAGTATGCCTACATCCTTTAGGTAGGCCCAAATAAGACGCCCTCACTCGTTCTAGCAAATCAGCCTCATAAGATTATAGGGAAGTCATGTATTTTGTCATCTAACTAAGGCGAAGTGCCTTTCTCGCTATTAATCGCTATCCATACCACCTTCCCCTCTGCTACAACAATCCGCTAACAGCATCGACAGTTACTAGACAGCACACACCAGGCAGTCGGAAATCTAGGCAGGCTCTAGGGACCACCAAATCGTCCATGCACGTCTAACCGTTTCCCCCAAAAACAGATACTAAGCTATAGAGAGGATCTGGGCTCCCGTGACATGGGTCGCGAAGAACTTGGTATAGCGCTGCGCAAGTGTCGCGTAGCAGAGGAATGCCACCGTAAACAACCCCACCTCGACATACCGCCCCTAGAGGTTGCCGTCGCCCAACCCTAGCGAAAGCTTCGCCGTCGCGTCGCCGCCGAGCCAGATGTGGTATTGTAAGACGTACGTTTCCAGTGATATTCTGCCTAGCGCGGCCGGAAGCGCTAGATATCTATTCGATATCGCATCGTAAGAGTTACGGAGAACGACGAAGCATAGGATGGGAACCCAAGAAATGTACGGGTGAACCAGATTGTATCGTCGCTTGTCGATGAGACCATGTTGTGTTAGGTAGACGTAGACAAATAGGTCTATGACACAGACCAGATCGAGCAAGAGTCCTAACTTAGGACGGCGATCTAGAGGGGCACGACTGAGATCAAGCCCGGTCTGTTTTCTGCGGCGTGAGGCTTTGTAGATGATGTAGGCCATTACCGCCCCGACATAGACAATATAGCGGTCTAGACGTAGCCTGAAGCGCATTTCCTCGGGGTCGCAGGGTATACGAAGTACACGGAGTGAGATCGCTGCGAAAGATTCCAGAATTCCGGGTGTTGATGTCAACCAGTCAGTAAGAGCAGCTGTCACTATCACTTTCGTACCAAACCACCATGGACTCTTATTGAGGTGGCTGAAGAAACCGAGCATCGCGTATAGGATAAGATACCAAAATGAGATGACGGGCGCGAAGTAGTACAAGCTATAATGCGTGCCCATGATGTAGGGTAGAAGGAGGCTTAATAGGTTCAGGCGGAATAAATCCCGAAGGACGCGTGTAAGAGAGAAGTCCCTCTTCTTCAGCCAACTCGACGTATGGCCGTACCCAGATAGGTAGAAGTATGCGGATACGAATAGTCTGATAATCTTGTACACCCATAGTGTCTGCGATGCGTAATGGTAGTGATAGAGTAATATGAACCCCTGCATCAAGCCTTTGATCTCTTCGGAGTGATCCCGCGACAAAAACCCTGGACCGCGGTAGGCTGGAGGATCCCATTCGGTTTTCCTCTCTCGAAATGACCATACGCTAACGGCTAGCCAAACTAGGCAGGCCTTGATGAAATCGTCTTCTCGGTAATGACGTTCCATTTGGCCTATACGGAGGGATCCGTCGCAATACCAGCACCATATTAAGATGTAAATGATGACGTTCGCGGCCTGCATCAACGATCTGTGGAACGGTGGTAGATCTTTCAAGAAGTATATACGAAAGAACTCAGAGAAAAGCACCGTAAAGATCAGCCACCATATGAGGGGGCCCTTGTACCAAAAATTGTACGGCTCAGAAACGCAGCAAGTGCCTTTGAAAGAGCGTGAGCCAACCCTTGCAGCGGAGTTGCAACGTGCGTTGAGGGCGATGTCGAGTTTGTTCGCTGCTATATTATCCGAAGCATGTAATCCGTCCGAATTCAAGTCGTCTGCCGGCTTAGTTGAAAATCGGTTATATGCCCAGAGTATATGTAAATGATATTTTGACGGAAGCTCCAAGAGGTAATCATTCATGGCTTCGATTCGCTCTGGCAAGATAGTCCTGGACCGGCTGTATGATAGACTGTCGTAGTTGGGGACTGGAACTGGGGCTAGCAAGATCTGGGGTCGGATCTTACGGATTTTGATATCGGCCTTATCCTGCACAACAGTGTGATCAAAGTTGGATGTTAGGTACGACAAAATGCCATCGATCCTACGCTTGAACGAGTGTAGATAGTCATCACCGCCGTACCGAGCAGTCCAGAGACCGGGAGCACCCACGACAAAGAGTACAGGGATTGGATCGATCGTCTCGACCGGGGATTGAAAACCAAGCAGACCCAAGGCGTTGACCAAAGTGGTAGAGTTTAGCCAGGGATCCCATATGAAGTCGAGTTTAACGCCATGGGCCTCATATGAAATGTTCTGATGCCACATGGTAGACGAACTTCTGAAGTCCGTCATATTGCTTGGTATTTCAGGGTCAAGTCTTTTCGCAGCAGCCAAGAAGACCTGCCGAATGGTAGAATCGCCGGCAAAGATGATTCTTCGTCCTTCAAGACAATCCTGAATAGCGTCTCCGGAATACTCGACCATACGACAATGATTGGGTTCCCATTTTCTCGAGCCGTCCGACGCCAACGGTGACCAACTGCCATCATGTAGGAGAGCTCGACAGTGAAAGGGATCGGATCGTGGTCCTATCATAGCGTTAGAAACCAAAGCAAACGCATTAGGTGCCCCTTGGAAGCCCTACCACTCGAGGGGTTTAGGTTCAGTTGCAGCATCCAAATAATGAACGTGACGACTGTGAGAAATCCACCAAGGTGGTGTTCCCAGGTTAATGGCGAACGGAGCCCAAACATGATGCGCAGTTTGAACTGAACTATGACTATCTGGAGTGACAAGATGGCACAAAACCACGAAATAATAATTCCAACGTTGTAAGAAATTGGGTTAAACATACGTGTATGTACCTTGAGAGAGAAGTGCGACTCATCTTGTTTTCATATGTAGGCCATTACAACCTACTTGATAGGCTCAACTCTCCTAACAACCTTTTCATTATGAAAGGGCAAGGACTCGTCGTGTGCATCTATGGAATACATGAAGGACGAATTTTATCTTTTGAAGGGTCTGCTTGACCTCATTCAAGAGCCTCACAAATAGAAGCAGCAATCTAGCCTTGGAATCGGGAAGTGCCAATCTAGTATTACACAGCAACGCTGCTGCCCGGTTGGTTAGGGGGTGGCTAGTGACTGACCTGTGGCTGTGCTGAACCCCACCAAGACCAAATCTCGTCGGGCAAACAAAATTCTCTCCATTTTTACCCAACTTCTTCCTATTACCTTGTCAACCTTAACAGGGTAGGCGGCTTGAGACAGACATCGCTGCCCTAAGACTACTCACCGACAACATATAATGCTGAATAATACAAAATGCGCGTACCGTCGAAGCGAAATGCAGTACAAACATACGCAGTGAACAGGTGACAAGCAGTCAATCTATTGAAGCTGGATGGCCATATGTCAGAAAGCTACCTACCCATCGTGTCGTAACGACTGCATCTGGTAAGGGAGAACTCACTCATCCATCGTCTCTTGCCAATGCTCGGTCTGGCCTAATCTGCCAACGCCTGATCTTGAGCCGGATACCTCATTCGAGTGTACGAGACAAGACTGAACTCCATGCAACGATCTTTGAGTACGGGACCTTCTGGCGAATAGCGTCGAGGTTTTCGTAATTTATCTGTTGCAACATCCTAATTGCGAATGTTGATATTTTGTCAACCGGTTTGTAAATAACTTCATCAATCACTCTAGGCAAGCAAACGAACATTGGCGCAAATATGATATTGTATTGCTATATCGTATTTCATCGACGTTAATCGAATCCCAATCGTGTTACAGTCTAGGGGCCCGTTATCAATATTCTTAAAGAACCATCGTCCATGACCCGTTGTCTACAGCGACCTGAAGACTGTGTCTCATAATACAAACAATGCTGGGTAATCACACAAAACTTGACGCTGTCACTCTTTAAGCGTACCATTCGCCTCCGAGCCAGCGGTTGAAAAAGTCGAGGGATCCCTCGGGCTGGTTGAAGGGAACCATGTGACCAGCCTGGTAGATCCGCACGAAGGTGAAGTTGCCGCTGCTCTTCACCTCGCCGTACTTGTCAGAGCCGGTTGAGAGACTCTCCATCTTGGCGGCATTGAATCCCTTCTTGCCGGGCCACTCAAGCGCCTCAGACCAGGCCTTGTTGCCAAGCCAGTTGCAGATGTAGTCAGCATCACCAGCATAGATGACGACCGGGATCTGCTTGATGATGTCGGGGACAAGGCGGTGGAAAGGCTTCGACCAATCACCCTGGAACAAGAAATTCCTATTGATATCTGTGTTGCAGCTTTCGTAGTCTTGGACCTCAGCTCCAACTGCCTTGATGACGTTGGCTTGGTTGAGATACTTGCTGATCCAGGCGGTCTCGGTGTAGCAAAGGTTTTCCTGGTCCTTGCACTTCTCGCGGACATCGTATACGTTGTATCCAGTGCGCTGGAAAGGGCCAATCATAGCATTATTACAATAGATAGCACCGGGGACACAGGACCACACGCTCTCGGAGTCGTAGCAGCTCTGGATGAGAGACTGGCAACGCGGGAGGGCGTTGTCCATCGACTGACACTCACTCTCGTCGAGCACCGCATCGT